GGCTGCTTTATTGCTTCATTTTCAGTATATCAGTGTTGAATGTGCAATCCCACAGCTGGGTACAATTCTCAGCAGTTCAGTTGCATGAACAGAGTTAGGTATATTGAAAGTCAAAACCAATTCTTGGTTTCTTTTTCAATGTGCATAGCTCATTAGCCAGAGGACTGTTTAGAAGCAATTAATCAGTGAAATTTACATTACACACACTGCTTATGCTAATTTATAACAATATATTGATGCTATATTCCAGACAAAAAGGGTTCATGGCCAAAGAACGTACGAAGTACACAGGAGAGCAAGTGAAAACAAACAGAAGAATTTAGTCAGAGGTGAAAAAATCAGTAGAGAAAAATTATCTCTGAGAATAAATTAGATGAATCTGAAGTAATGACAAGAATTTAGGAGCTTATGCAAAGCTAGGAACTTATAAAAAAAAAAACTTTACAATTCTAACAGCTTTGATTTTGGTGGTTTTTCTAGAAATTCAACTACCTTTTCATTAGGATTGTCAGCATTTTAAATTTCCATCCTTTTTGTGAAGGCAGTGAATGTGAGGCAGAGGAATCAAAAGCTGGGTGCTTATCCTTGGCTTTGCTGATTGCCCCTTAGCACATCCTTTCACCCTTCTCATCTGCTTCCCACCATGCTTTTCCTGCCACTGCTGAAAGCTGCCTGGAAGACCAACAAATTCACAGTATCCACCCCAGGTTTAGTACATTCACATTGGGGCACATGGGAACAACTACAATACAAATAGTATTGTCCTGTCTCCCCAGCCAGCAGGGTCTTATCATGTTAAATACCACTGAGGATCTTCACCAGGAAGACCATTCATATTAGTTTTTTCTTATTCCCAAATTAAACTAGCTGTATTTGTTTTCATTTTAAGGTACTAAAGAGAAGTGTTATTTCTGTAATGTTTTATTGGTATGTAGTACCAATAAATGAAACAGATCCACTAAATGCTTTTTTTGGGGGGTGAGTGTTTTAAAAAAGAAATACAACTATACTGGTTGTCCAGTTGCAGTAGGAAATGAAACTGCATCTATTATCAGCACAAAAGGAGACAAAACCTACCTACCACTGTATTCCCCTGAAAGCATGAGTCACAGACCTATTGAGAACAAAATATGGATGTCAGATGGTAGCCCCTCAGGCTGTCTGGCAACCTGCTTGCTGCTCAGAAAGAGGTAGCAGCTGCTTCATATAAGACTAATAAGGATGATAGAAAAGCCTATGCTGGCTTTCACAGATCCACACCTGAAGAAAATAGGCAAGGCAGGCTGTATTTGAACCTCAGGAAAGAAGCAAATCCTAGTAAATGGGCTTGGAAGCAATCACTGGTGGGTAACCTTTGTTTACGAAGACTGAAGAATGATTCAGTCTCCTGATCATTATTTTTTTAATTGAACTTTAAATCCTATAAAAATAAAAATATTTAATTTTTACAGCATTTTACACTGTCCTACATTATATTTGAGTTCTTATACTGGGACTTTAACATGAGTTAAGAGAATTCAGCTGCTCACTTTGATAATCTCACTCAGCTGGTGCTGGAATGCTGGGAAGAAGGGAGGGTCATATGCAGAAATCCACCAAGATACTGCAGGAACTTCAGGATCAAAAACTGTCAGTTACTGGAGGCAAAAGATCAGAAGATGGACCAAAAGTTCCCTGTTATTCTAGAACAGAGACTTCTCTTTGAAGTACTGGAAACAAAAGGGTTTGGGGTGGTTTTTTCCTTTAAAGAAAAAAAAAATGGAGAGGGAAGAGGTGGCCTTCTCGAGCAGATACTTTCAGTTATTGGATCAGTCAGAAACTATCTATAGAATACACGTGAATGGAGGAGGAGCAAAAGCAACCTGTGGCTGATAAATAAGCGACCATTGATTTTGCATTTTTTTTTACATTCAAAATGTTTTCCATTACTATACTTTTGTTTCCAAGCCTTCTTGTCCTAAAAAAAAAAAAAAAAAAAAAAGCTTTATATTCCCTGTCAAAAGCAATGTTTTGTTTAAGCTAGAGTGCTTTTTAAAAAAACACTCTTGATTCACTGAGTCAACCCATCACACTAAAATAAATCTTGGCTTGCCCCAAATGGTGCTTTGTTTTTGTCGTTTTCAGAACTTCTAGGAAAAAAAGAATCCTTTATTCATACAGCTGTAGAGAGGCAGAGGGGGAGAAGTGGGTTGCTGATTAGAGGAAACATGCTGAAGTCTCTCTCAAGAGATGCTGCAGCCAATGCATTTCAAGGTCTATTATGCCACAGCTGTTTCCTTTGTCCTTCCTTGTAAAACAAAGGAATGTGCTCCTTTTACTTATTTTTGCTCCCCCTGCATGTAAGACAGCTGATCCTAAACATGGAGAAGGAATAACAGACCCTTTTAAACCAAGCTCTTGGGCCAACCCTGACAGAAGCCTTCAGGTGTGTGCAAACAGAGATTCAAGTAGATGCTTGTCCTTATAGGAAGTTTGTAATTTAGCAGGCTGAAATAAAATGGAGTACCAGATCATCATTAAAACGGTTGGGCATTTCTCACTCCTTCAGAAAACCAGATGTAAACTGTACCTGGCACAGCAATACTTCAGTTCAGGTACTAGTCTGACACCCAGAGAAGTTCTTTCTTTGAAGAATATTATTTTCAAATTGAGGTCAGGTCTAAAAGATAAGATTCAATCTACATTAAAAGATTCAACTTGTCATGTTCCTTTCCATGATTTTACTTGCTTTGTGTTATTGGTGACAGGTTGCTCAGTAAAATTTAAATCTGCATAAAGAGTGGAATATCTAGAAATAAAAGTTTTAACATTCAAATAGTCTACTGCAGCTCCCCCTCCTGACCTCTGGGGAGCTGAAACCCTCCCTTCAGCTTCCATCCTGTAAGGTAGACACAATATTATAGTTTCTTCCATTTTTATTGTTTTTCCTGCTTCTCTATTTGGTATCGGATGTTGTTTGCAGCAGCCATTATTAGGGAAAGTTTTAGACCACCTTCTCCAGAAGGTTCCTTAACTGCCTCAAAAAATGTGACAGCAAATGGCTTGTTCAGGCCCAAATCATGGCTTAAACTCCTTGAAAATGTGTACATTTGAGAATTTAAATAAAAGCAAGTTTCTTGACAGTTCACCCACGGCTGACAGAATCTGTAGAAATTGTTAAAATAATTTTCTAAATCAAGTTATAAAGATATATTCAATGAAACTGTGTCAAAATCTCATAAAAATAGGGGAGTGTCTTAAATGTCAAAAAGTATTTAAATGCTAATGGATGTCTGTTTCACATATAAATGAACAAGACAATTTAGGAAATAAAAATTATCTCCTTCCTCCATGCCCTATTGATTATGTGCCTGTAACACCTCAGTGAATAGGATACCACCCACTTCTTCGATCAGGCTTTTTACTCATTATAGATATTCTGAAATATCTTTCAAGCATCAACATGTATGTTTCAAATATGGAAGAGCTGTGATGGCTGAAGGGCAACCTTGTTATCTATTCAGATAACTAACAGAGTGCTAAATGCAGCCATTATATTAAATCCAGAAAGAAATTGAGCATTGTCGCCCAAGTGATGTGACGTACTTTTCTTTTATAAAAAGCTTTCAAGAGCTCTCTAAATTGGTTAATGAAGAATTGAAAAAACCTGACAAATTATAGCAATAGCACAAAAAGTAAAAATATGCCATCCTTGATTTGAAATATCTGCAAAATGTTATTCACATTAATACTTGTTTTAGGAACTTACATGTTTAAAGGTACCCTGGTTCTTGTACCTGACTAGAGGGTCTTTTCCTTCCAATTCCCTGTCTGGGAAAACTGTGAGACTGGGAAACTCTCCGGAAGGTTTTATGAAAGAAAATTCTCCTGAAGTTTTATAGAAGAAAGGACTCATCCGAAAGTTTGTCCTAAAATCATTATTGAAAAGAAATGTAGAAATACTAGAACTTCCAGTCTCCAAACCACCCAGCTTTTTCAGAAAAATGTTGGAAAATGCTCTTCTGCAGAGAGCTGGGTGGGGATTACTGGCTGACACCTCAATAATATCGACTGTTCTCCCCTTCTCTTTCAGCAACACATGGTGTCTGGGCTCTGAAATTCCATTCTCTCATCTCTTGGAAAAGCCAGCGCTTCCCTCTCTTGCAAGGAGACAAACTGAAAATTATAAAATCAGAAAAGTGAAACACAAAAGTTCTAAGCATTTAAACATTTGGATTACCACTTAGGTGCAGTCATATTATACCCAGAAATCTACTGATTCAGATGTAATAATATAAATGTGCAAATCACAGGCCATGACTAAAAATCTGGATGCCTGTGGAATCCTTACAAGTAGAAACACTAAAGTTGATTTGGTTTTCCTCATTTGAAGATTAAAAAGAAATTCAATCATTTACTCCTCTAAAAAGAAAATTCCTTCTGATTACTGTCACATTTTCAAAGGTACTTAAACTTCCAGCCCATGTAAAATTTATGCTATAGGAGACCTGAATTTAAAAAAGACCAATAAATATCTAATTCTCAAAAATTACAGCTTCAGATAGGCCAAGTATTGATAGGTATCGATACAGAACTTATGTCTTCATCCCTGATATATAAATTTACACTTCTAATTTTTAAAATATTTTCTATTCAACATGCATGAAATTAATAGGGTTCCTTTTCCTACCTTTATTTTAATACTTTGAAATAAAACAAAATTGAAATTTTAATGTTTCATAGTTTTATAGCAATTTTTTTGCAAAGAAAATATTTTTATTTCAGTTGGGTGAAATAAAAATATGTCCCAGTGTTTCTCAGCACAGCTGGTGGATCAAAGCTAAATTACCAAAACCATTTTGTGATTAAGTATGTTTTCGACTAGTAGATTCTTCCTTCCCTAAACTTTTTCTGTAGACAAAACAGAGGCAGGTGTTTCGGACCTACAAGGATCATCTTGTCCAGCTCCTGGCCCTGCACAGCTCCATCCCCACGAATCCCACCCTGTCCCCGAGAGCAAGGTCCAAACACTTGTTGAACTGTGTCAGGCTGGTGCTCTGAACACCTTCCCAGGGAGCCTGTTCTAGTGCCCAAACAACAACTGCTTGAAAAACCTTTTCCTGATATCCAGCCTAAACTTCTGGCCATTCCCTGTGGTCCTTGTTTTGATTCCTTTATGTTCTGAAGGTACTGTTTTCAACATAAAGATAAGAATATACATATTCTAGTGTAGTCTTGTATACAAAAGGCATCTTGTTTAATGCTGGGTCAGTGAAGGAAAGTGACTCATCAGGGATTATGCAGTTGTGATAACTACTGTAGAACAATTTAAAACTCACAGGTAATATCAGAAGGAGCCAGATTTATCAATACAAATCAAATTATTCTGAAATGTGTGATCAGCCAAAACAACATCCCTGCTCCACAAGAAAGTTTGGAAGGGGGTGGCTTTCTATGGCTTTCATCTCTGATGTCTTGTTTCAGTAAAATCCAGGATTTATAGAATTATGAAAAAACAAAGCTGTGTTGCCCACAAGTGAATTAATTAATTCGTTTTCTATACAGTCAAAATCTTCATTTTAATCCCTCCATCCTCCAGAACAGACCAAATGCAGAACACAAAAAACCCCATGAAAATCATCAATAATGAATCTCCAGCCAACATAACCCACTGTGACTATTGTATCAGACAGCTGGCTTACAATTCCTAACATACCAGAATAACACAGTACCTCATACTCTGGATGGATACATACTGTGGATATCATACTATGGTACACAGGAATTATGGCAGCAGGTATCAGTGAGGAGTGAAGTTACTTTTCAGCACTAAGTATGTACAGCTCTGTCTAGACATTCTCCTCCACCTGCCTAGATGTTTTCCTCCTGTTAAAGGCTCTGCAATCTATCTACTTGAATATCCTCAATATTATACAAGTTGCATTAATGGTCAGAACTATAAAACAAAACTTTTAGAAATGGAAATTGTTTGTCAAATAATTTTTTCAACATCCTTATTTCTGCTGTTGTTCTATGCTAATTTAAAGATGATTCTTTAAAACTTAACTTTTTTTTAACCTCCTTTTGCAAAAACCTGTGTATTTTTGAATGTTAAAAAACACAAAGACACCTTTTTATTTCTGAAGCCCAAACATCTGAATATCGACAATAATTAATACAAGGAAGTGTATATAACACAAAAGATCATTATCACAAGATTTAAAGTGAGTGAACATATGGTGGTAAGTCAAACAGCACAGAAATAGTATGAATAACAACACCAAGTCATTAGGTAAACAGGGAGGAAAGGAAGGTAACATTGCATGAAATAACTGGTGACAGGATAGCATTTGTGAGACGAGTTTATATTTAATGATGTTTCTTTTCTATGGGGCAACCGAGGGTAACATACGATGCCGGTGATGTGGACATAATTTGGGTACACTTCTCTAATTAAGTAAAATGCCCTTCAAAGCAATGCTGAGAAGATCACAAAGTCAAATGCTGCTCTTTAGATTCAGACTTAGAGTTCAGGACAGTCCACGGCACAAAGAAGGTTAATTGTCCTCCCCATCACCCCACCCTTGGATGCTTGCTGTATCCAAGCAAATGGCCCACAGGACTACAAAGAGGCAGCTCATTAAACCATTGCTGTACTCACCAGGACACCCAAGACCACAGAGTCATAGTAGCATGCTGCAGACTGATATTATAACTGACAGAGTTGCCCTAGCACAAGTTCATTGCTCCAGCAATGGACACATTGATTTGGGGAACTCGGGAGCTGAGCATTGCATTGCTGAAGTATAGGGTAACATTACAGTGAAAGGATCCTGAAGCATTAGAGTATATCAAACACTTTGGATAGTAACCCTCTCAAATTTTAAACTGGCACAGGGTCAACTAGGACTGCCAGCTCTGAGAAGGAGGAAGGGAAGGACTGATATCAGTAGAAAGGGTGCTGCTTAGAATTGCTTCTTGAGAGATAGAAATAGTATGAAGCTGATGGGAGCAGCTCCAGGCGAAATAACATTCCTTAGTGAAAGCTAAAAGAAATAGCCTGTACAGTAGTTTCACCATGTCACAGAGTGAATGGTGACAGTGCACAGAGGGTACTTCTATGCAGAAAATTACTGAGAAGCAATAGGAGCAGGAGACATGTTACAAGATCAACATGACAAAGTGAGCAATTAGGCTTCCATGAAACTGAGGACAGAATTTTCCTGCATTCTGTCATCAGCTCTCAGGGCTAAGTCTGATGCTTATGACCTTACAGAGGCTGATCACAACAGGCCATGCTGGGTTGGGACCTATTGAGTTGCTTCCTTCACTGGAGGTGATGGAGTTCATTTCAAATGTAGCTACTCTGAGGCATTAAACAAATAAAACATAGTATGCATTAAACTAACATTATTAAGGTTACAAAGGTTACAGAGTCAAGCATTCAAAAGCTACTTCTGCAGCCTTAATTCAGTCCCCATTGTGTGTTTTCTCTGTCTTCCCGTGACTCTCCCTAATACTTCTACACCATAAATTTGCCTTATAGCAGATTTTGTTCACTCTATCACAACAGTGGGCAAGAGCTTGTAGTAAATATTACATGTACAGTATGGAAGAACTTATACAGGAATTATCTGTTCACCATTTGTTTAATCTTCATGGTTCAATATGTGGTCCCAGGATATATCTGCTGAACAATAAGCAAACTCCTCAAACTTAATCTGTCTTTTTGACTTAGACTACTGTAAGAGTACCATGGGTGTCTCAGTGAGGCACCCTAATTTGGAGTTTATGCTCTCCATGGCAATAGAAAGACTAACTCCAGCTACAGGGAGATAGAAGCAGTAACTTGCCATTTAGTTCTGAACCCAGAAAGTCTCCTCTATGAAGAGATAAATAAACGGGAAAAAAGTTGTTTTAACTTCTATTTAAAAAATCTGAAACCACTGGGAAAGTAAGTCTACTTTTACTCAAATGAGCAGTGGTATATTTCCTTCCCCATTAAGCTTTTTTTTTGCCAAAACTAGCACCAATATAAATGTTGCCATATGTTTACTGATATCAGGAAACTCCATTATAAGCCAGTAAACAAGCTAGACATCACCATAGTTATAACTTAATTACATCCTCTGGGAAGGGAACTCTCATCAGGTCAGGTTTTCTGAAGTCACAGAATTAACAAATTTCTATCATTAAGCCTTTCTTAACACAACCAGTGAACAGAAAACCCATTGGCAAAAGCTGCAGGCACTGGTGAAAGCAGCCATAAAATCCATTAAATCAGCATTTTTCCAACATGTGATTGAGTTGCTGATTGGGCTTTTGTCGGAGGTTTTGTACCACTTTGTCTGACATTTTTGGGTCAAATCTCTCTCTTACCTACAAAAAAAAAAAAATTCCAAGGTTGAACTGCAGCCAGCTGGACACTGCTGAATTCTTACCTCGGGCTTCATGGTATGTTTGGGAACAAGTCTGGTAGCTCTGGTAACCAAAATGGCCTTAAATTTTGTTTAGTCCATGAGTCCAAATAAACATTAGCTGAGAATAACTTACAGGCAGAAGATGTGGTCACAATAATTTTACAACACAACAAAAACCAAAACCACAGGAAAATCAAAAGCAAAAAGAGAGGACATGTTAATGGTTACAAGTCAAAGCATCTTTGTTAAAAGATTTTACTAACTGATTATCTACTTAAACAATTTGTTTCTTCTGATTTATAATATTATTGTGTTATCATTCCCCTGGAAGAGCAGAGCCTGGAAACTTATGCCTTAGGACCTTTATTTAAAGGAGCTTTTGCCTCCTTCCAGTTTAATTAAAGGCTCCAGGAATTAGGCACCTATTTTTAACACTATGAAAGCAGATAATTAACCTCAAGAAGTTCAGCAAGGGCAAATGCAAGGTGCTGCACGTGGATCAGGGCAATTCCCAATAGCAATATACACTGGGGAATGAAGGGATTGAGAGGAGTCCTGAGAAGAAGGGTTTGGGCACCAGAGGATGAAGAGCTGGACATGAGCCTGCCATGTGCACTCACAGAAAACCAAACATGTCCTGGGCTGCATCTCAAGAAGTGTGGACAGCAGGATGAGGTTGAGGAAGGGGATTCTGTCCCTCTAGTCTGCTCTGGTGAGACCCCAGGTGGAGTGCTGCATCCAGCTCTGGGCCACCAGTGCAAGAAAGACATGGACAGGTTAGAGTATGTGCACAGAGTGACCATGGACGTGATCACAGGGCTGGAACACCTCCTGTGGAAACAGGCTGAGTTGGGACTCTTCAGCCTGGAGAAGAAAAGGGTCTGGGAAGACTTTGCTATGGCCTTCCAGTACCTGAGGGGGGTTTATAAGAAAAAAAATAGGGCAGATTTTTAGCAGGGCCTGTAGTAACAGTTTTAAAGTGAAAGAGGGTAGATTTATATTGGAGATAAGGAAAGAATTATCTACTTTGAGGGTTGCAATACACTGCCACACGTTTCCCAGAGAGGTGGTAGATACCCCAACTCTGGAATTGTTTAAGGCCAGATTGAATGGACCTTTGAGTAACCTGATCAAGTGGGAGGTGCCTCTGCACATGGCAGGCATGTTGGACTAGATGATCTTTAAATGCACCTTCCAACACCAATTACTTTATGATGATTAATAATAACTACATTCTTCAGCATATCAAATCTTTGTAAATACAGCACTCTGGTCTTCTTAATGAGCTTTTTACTTAAGATAACAACCTTTTCCTATTCTATCATATTTAGCAACATCTACTATTTATTTCAGTTTTTGTTAGGATTTATTTTTTATGGGTTAGTACCTCTCAGATTTATGTGGTGACCACTAAGGGGGATATTGCACTGACATTGCTCCCTCCACGCCTTTCTTACCTGGGCCAGCCATGGTCTTTAGGACCTCAGTCCTGGCCCCCAGCTGCTGCTAGGGTTAGGGTTCAGAGTTCCACAGACCTACAGTTCCAGGGACACTGGGGCTGAAAAAGCCATGGCAAGGGTAGTGTGGCATTTGCATCAACATTGCTCCCTCCACACATTCCTCATCTGGGCCACCCACAATGCTGGGAACTTCAACCTCAGCC